CCCCGCTATCTCACAGGGAATGCGTGGGTCAGTTCTGCCCTCTGGTGGCTGCATGAAAAACTGCAGCCAACTGAGGGGATGTGCAGACCAAGGTCATACATCACCCTCCCTGTTCATTCATTCATTCCACCTTCATGAGGGCTCCTTTATATCAGGTGCCATGATAGGAGATACAGTTTAATCCTCTGAAATGGCGCCCCTCCCCCAAGGCTGTATCCATGAGAATCTTCCCTTGCTCACCCATGACTAGTTTAATAGAGACCGTCTTTGCCCTGTGTGCCTCCCCTTGTCAGGGATCTTCTGGCTAATTGTCCCATCCCTGTGTGTCCACAGAGGCTGGCTCAGTGTTATCCCTGGAGAAGCCTAATGTGAACCACTGCGCATTCCTAAGCCCCTGCTAGGTACCAGACACTAGCTATACCGTTTACATCTACCATCTCTCTCCCAGTCTCACCAGGAGACTCACTCCCTCCCTTGTAACAGAGAAACTGAGGCTCAGTGAGGTTCCACAACTTAGCAGAGATGGCACAGGCTGCAGGCTCCGGAACCTGGTTCACGCCCTTTTCCAACTGACCCCCAAGCATCTTAGGCACGGTTTCCCTGAAGAGCCCAGCACATTCTCTGCCCACAATGCTCACAGCCGTGGTGGGTCAAGTCCTGGAAGACTCCACCCAGACCGTTACTCAGCAAGGTGGACCTCTTTTAAGTCTCAGGCCCCAGGGTTGCTTACCCAATCACCCAGAGGCTCCAGCCTTGCTCTTTGGCTATAACCCACATCCAGCCCTAAACATGCTTGATCCTGGCTCAGCTGGACTGTTGGGCACAATAACTCACACTTCAACCCCCAGCCCCAAGGCTGCAGATGCCCCAGAGCCCTGTACAGGCTGCCCAAAGGCTAGTGACACTGGGGCAGGCTCTTCACTCTAGATGAAGAGACTGAGATCCCTAATGGCCCACATGCCCTGGTAAGCTGGGGAGCAGAGCTGAGAACCCCAGCCTGTACTTGCCTTCTCCTGGCCTGAGTAGCTGTGCTCGGTCCAGTGCTGGCCAGGGCCCTGACCACCAGAGGGCAACAGCTCTGCTAGACCCAGACTCCTAGGAGCCCCTGGACACATCATTCTACACACCTGCCCTCCATGCAATCTGCAGAGCCAGCCATTCTTTAATCAATTACTGTTCACAGAGACCACAGGGTAACCTCCACTGTTCTCTCATCACTGAGTAAGACATGGCACCCTCCACCATCTCTTCACTGAAATCCAGGGAGAGTGAAACTTGGTCTCACATCATCAAGTTCTTTGGCCTTGAACTGCAGTATCCTCCAGGTTCGCTGCTGTAACAGCCTAGCTCCCCAGGCTGGCGAAGCAACCCTGTGGCCACCAGGGCAGCTGGGCCACAACACCGAGGAGACCGGGGTTCCGCCCAGCACCAAACCTGAACCCTTTCATTTACCACCTTCCCCCACAGGCAAGCATTCCAAAGTGTTTCATGGGTGTGTTTTTGTGTGTAGTGTTCTTGCAAAATACATATTATTTTCTAGGAAAAATATTCCATCGCATAGCCCATGGAGTGGTTTGTCAAGGCATTGGCTTTCTCCTCTTCTCTCTGCCAACTTCTGAGGTCTTCGCTGCACACCCGCCCCTCCAGGAATCCCGGGCCAGCCTCTCCTGGGTCACAGTCTCAGCAAAGCCTCCTCACCCAGGCTTTGCCCTCAGCCTGAATGGGGAAAGGGAAATGCACCCCTATTCCAAGGCTTGGCTCATCTCTCTGCAGACCAAACCCCTTCATTCACTCACTTCACATATTCAACCATTTGACAAATAGTCCCTGAGGGCCCACCTCGTGCAAGTCTTACTGCAGATAATATACAGGAAGGGGCAGAAGAATGAAACATAGATGAGGACTAAGGGCAGCAACGCATGGGGACCGAGAAAGCACACTCTGAAGACGCTTGGCAGCCCTTAGTCACATTCTTAACCCTCTTTGGGCCTCAGGTTCTCCACAAGTCACATGGGTTTCCTCGGACTGTCTGCCTCAGCAGAGCATGAAGCATGGTGTGGAATGAATATGGTCATGTGGTGACAACACAGTAGCTGAGATGAGAAAACCTCAATCCATGCTGGGTGGGCCCCACGTGGATGGGAACAGAATGCCCCAGTTTGGGGAACGCTGAGGGGAGGACACCTACTTTGCTGGAGGATGGGAGAATCAGGTGATGCCACTCAGAGAGGAGGTTTCAGAGGGTTTGCAGACAAAAACTAAGCGTAGGGAGTTGCTCCTTGAGTCTTTATTCACTGTCCTAGCAGGAACTATTCATCAACAAAGGCTCTATACAAACAACGTGGACAGAAACCAGATCTTGTTTCTCTACGGAGAGGGGAAAGTATTAAATTCTGAATTTTCACTTAGAATGTAGCCCGCAGTAGAGAAACTCAGCCACCTGAAAGCTGTGACTACCTCTCCTGACAGTAACCTGAGACTTCCTGGGGAACCGGAGAGAGCAGAGCTTCCGGATCATACACAAGAGCTAGGGTTTTATGGTAACTAGGGCTTCTTTTGCTGCCCTGGGACTGCCTTTCCCATGATCGAAAGAGAAGCCCTAGGTTCTTTGTGCTTCGGGCCTAGAGCCCGGACGTGGGCTCTCTGCTCCCAGGTGAAGCTCCTTGGGCTTCCCGTCCCAGCCAGAAGCAGCACCGTGTGCCCCGGCAAGAAGCCCAGTCCCCAGTGCTCTCCCAGGGCCCACGGAGGCCCCCACCTGAGGCTGTGGTCTGGGGAGCTGGGGAGAAGGCAGAGATGCTGCTGTCAGAGGCCCAGGCTCACAGGTGAGGTGGGTGGGGCTGGACATGGATGGAAAGGCAGGTGAATGTGCAGCTTCTGAGACCCCGGAGCACTGAGGATGCCTCAGACCCTTCTAGAGTAGACCCGCCCCCAGAAGTGACCTGGCAAAGGCAGAATCCCCTATGACATCTCAGCCAACTTGTCCACCACGAGGAGTCAAGCCTTGCCACCCGGGTTGCCACTGAACTTAGTATCCGGGTCTTAGGACTGGCCTCTCTGCAACAGGGATCCGACGGGCTCACCCATGTATTCCAACAGCACTCAGACTACAGGAGGTGCAAAGGGTCCAAAGAGAGAGAAAGATTTGAAGGACACAGGTTCCAGTCCCTTGTTTACGGGGATGGCCACCTGTGCTAGGATGAGCTGCTTCTCCTGATCCAGTAAGCCCAGATGGGACTGAACCAGACTGGGACCACTTACTCCAGAGGTTCACACACCCCAGCCCTGCATGTGCCTGAGTGCGCAGGGGCGAGGGTTATATGGTTGCTTCTTAATTCCAAACTCCAGCCCAGCCCATGGGCCACAGGAGCCAGCTCACTCTGAACTGTCATCTGAAATACAGGAGGCAAATGGAACAGCCCTTTGGTTCTGTCCTGACTGCAGCTCATTGTCTTAGGACTCACCAAGAGCAGGCGGCTTAGTCCCCTAATTCAAAGCAACCTCCAGTCTTTAGGAAAGAGGCCACAGCTTCCCTTCAGTCTGCTTTGTCACTGCGCAGACTTGTTTCTGAGACGAGATTTGGCAGGGATGGTGGGGGTGGGGGTGTGTGGGTTCCTGAGTAAAGCTCCCTGATTCATGTCTAGGCCCCGACACATGTAGCTGTGGGACACTGTGAACATTACCTACATGGTCTGTGCCTCAGTTTCCCCATTTATAAACGGGGATAACAAAGGTGTTACCTCATCATGTTGCAGTGAGGAAGAAATGACATCAGTGATTAGCTCTGTCTCTTGCTCGTTTGGGTGCTTAGGCCACGAAAGCCCCTGTATTTATCCCTATCAGAGGCCCAGCCTGAGAGGCTCTTTGTGACGGCCTTTGAAATGGCGCCCCTCCCCCAAGGCTGTATCCACGAGAATCTTCCCTTGCTCACCCATGACTAATTTAATAGAGACCGTCTTTGCCCTGTGTGCCTCCCCTTGTCAGGGATCTTCTGGCTAATTGTCCCATCCCTGTGTGTCCACAGAGGCTGGCTCAGTGTTATCCCTGGAGAAGCCTAATGTGAACCACTGCGCATTCCTAAGCCCCTGCTAGGTACCAGACACTAGCTATACCGTTTACATCTACCATCTCTCTCCCAGTCTCACCAGGAGACTCACTCCCTCCCTTGTAACAGAGAAACTGAGGCTCAGTGAGGTTCCACAACTTAGCAGAGATGGCACAGGCTGCAGGCTCCGGAACCTGGTTCACGCCCTTTTCCAACTGACCCCCAAGCATCTTAGGCACGGTTTCCCTGAAGAGCCCAGCACATTCTCTGCCCACAATGCTCACAGCCGTGGTGGGTCAAGTCCTGGAAGACTCCACCCAGACCGTTACTCAGCAAGGTGGACCTCTTTTAAGTCTCAGGCCCCAGGGTTGCTTACCCAATCACCCAGAGGCTCCAGCCTTGCTCTTTGGCTATAACCCACATCCAGCCCTAAACATGCTTGATCCTGGCTCAGCTGGACTGTTGGGCACAATAACTCACACTTCAACCCCCAGCCCCAAGGCTGCAGATGCCCCAGAGCCCTGTACAGGCTGCCCAAAGGCTAGTGACACTGGGGCAGGCTCTTCACTCCAGATGAAGAGACTGAGATCCCTAATGGCCCACATGCCCTGGTAAGCTGGGGAGCAGAGCTGAGAACCCCAGCCTGTACTTGCCTTCTCCTGGCCTGAGTAGCTGTGCTCGGTCCAGTGCTGGCCAGGGCCCTGACCACCAGAGGGCAACAGCTCTGCTAGACCCAGACTCCTAGGAGCCCCTGGACACATCATTCTACACACCTGCCCTCCATGCAATCTGCAGAGCCAGCCATTCTTTAATCAATTACTGTTCACAGAGACCACAGGGTAACCTCCACTGTTCTCTCATCACTGAGTAAGACATGGCACCCTCCACCATCTCTTCACTGAAATCCAGGGAGAGTGAAACTTGGTCTCACATCATCAAGTTCTTTGGCCTTGAACTGCAGTANCTCTGTCTCTTGCTCGTTTGGGTGCTTAGGCCACGAAAGCCCCTGTATTTATCCCTATCAGAGGCCCAGCCTGAGAGGCTCTTTGTGACGGCCTTGGATCAGGGTTCTGGCTGGAGATCTGTGAGACCCTAAGATCGGTAGGGGTGTGCTGACCTTGGCACATGTGTGGGGATGGGGATGGGGGGGTGGGGGGAGGCTGGTCAGGATCCAGGCTACAGGGGAGGTGAGGGGATTTACTCCTGACGGGTGGTTTTTCCACTAAATTAACATCACCTTGGTCTAAGGCAGAGGCAGGGGAACATAGTGACTATCCTCATGAGGCGATCAGACCCTAGGCACCAGGAAGCCACCTGCCTCCTGCCATTCACGATGACAGCAGGAGAGGGCTAGATCAGAGGGCTTTGCCTGGGATGGGGGTGGGGGGTGGGGTGGGAGTGGTGTGGGGAGACACACTCCTAAGGGCAGTCAGCAGCCTGGGGTCTGCAGGAGCTGAGAGTTGGGATCCTGGAGAAGAGGAATGTGGCCACTCAGATGCCCCTGGAGCGAGGCCAGGCCTGGCTCCATCAGCTCTAAAACACAAGCTTCTTGGGGACCTCCCAAGGGAACTCGCTTCTTCCGAAATGGCCGTAGCATGCCGTCTTCTGGTAGATGGGCTTCTTCAGATCCAAATCCCTGCATGTCCAGCAGAAGAAAGGGTTGTTTTTAATGGGAAAGAGCTGAGTTTCTGTCTGTATTTTCGGGCACAGGAGTAATTAACAGATTGTGACCATCTCTATGCGGAGTGTCACCACTTGCAGAGAAATTTCCCATAGATTTTCTGCCTACAACACACCAGGTCTTAGAAGGTCACCAGCACTGGCTCTTGGGAAGCAGGCTCAGAGGTCCAGGGACAGGTTGATCACAAAGGGGCCAGGAACCAGGATTGTATTATGGCCTTGAGGTGCCTTTCTCATCTGTATTCCACTGACCTGGCCCCAACCAACGTCAAGTGACCAGACTCCAGGAAGCAGGGATGGTGTTAGAAACAAAAAGAGGTGGGACTGGACTTGCCTACTCAATTCTCAACTATTCAGCCTTATTTTCCTCCCCAACTGGAGTTAGCAGCTGCTGGGCCGGCAGGGATTGTACGCAGCCCCTCCAACCTGAAAACTGGAATCCTGCATTTGGGATACGCATCGTGCTGGGCCAAGAGCTTGCAGACTCTCGTGCTCTGGGTGGCTGAAAATCCTTCCTGTTTCCCGTGCAGCTGAGTTGAGCATCTGGGTGAGGGAGGAAGGTCCTGCCTAACAGCGGTGGGGCAGCACTTTTACCTGACGATGACGCCAGGCCGAAGGTCAAAGTTCTTGTGCACCACATCTAGCAGCTCTCGCTCTGTCTTCTGAGAGGTCCCATAGGTGAAGATGGAAATGGACAGTGGCTCAGCCACACCAATGGCATAGGAAACCTTCCAGAAGAGACCAGAGTCAGGGACCAAGGCCTCTGTGCAGGGGTCTGCCCCTCACAGAAACCTTCAGGTCCTCAGGAAGGGCAGCTGAACCACATATCTCTTGCCCTACACGGTCCCCCCACCTGTTTGCCTAGAGATCCCTGCCGTCTTCATGGTGGGAAGCTTCTGTACATGGCCCTCTCCCTGCAGGATTTGGTTTTCCCTCTCCCAGGTTTTCAGGGTACTGGCCACAGTGCCCAACGCGACACATACGGAGGCACATCTTTTAGCGAAGTGCGTGGCCTTGCACCAGAGCTGGTGGGGTCAGAGTGGGCCGGGGCCCGACCCACCTGCACAAGCACTCTGCGGCACAGCCCTGCTTTCACCAGGGACTTGGCTACCCAGCGGGCAGCGTAAGCCGCAGAGCGGTCCACCTTGGTGTAGTCCTTCCCGGAGAAGGCCCCACCACCGTGCGCCCCCCAGCCGCCATAGGTGTCCACGATGATCTTACGGCCAGTGACGCCCGCATCCCCCTGCAGAGGGAAAGGAAGGAACAGAGTGGGGAGACGGGAATCAGAGCCCCCACAGGGCTGGGAGGACGGGGCAGCTGAAGCACCGTGACGGCTGCTGGACTACAACTTGGAAAACGGACTCTGAAGCTGCCCGGGGACATATTTCAAAGGCTCTTTGGCTACGAGTCAGCCAGAAACCCTGGCTCTAATCCCACTTCAGTCACTGACCAGTTACAGAAGTCAGGTAACCTGTCAGAGCCTCATCAGAAAGCACAAATGACTGGCCAGCTGGGGTCACAGCCAGCTCCTAAGGCCTGTTTTTATGAGTCAGTCGTAATGGGGAAGTCCAACTGCAGGAAGAAACTGCAGTGTGATCAATACTCCCTGAGCTGCGGCCCTTATTGGTACCACCCAGTAAACGCCACGTTGCCCATTTCCTCAAGGGTCTGCTCTGTGCAGTACCAGTCAGTAAAGATATTTGAAAAGGGGGCAGGGGTTCCACGTTAAATGATTTGAGGAAATGGCATAGTATATACTCCCGCTTAGAGATCCACAGTTCACACTCGGATGTCTAGCCTTTGAGAGGCCCTGCAAGAAAATACAATAAGTTTGACCTTTGCTTCTTCCTGTGTTTCTGCACTACATTTTGGTCATAGGACCTGTCATGGAGGCTCTGCTTTGTGGCAACACATCCGCAGCTGAGGTCCCCTGGCAGTGGTAAGCAGCCTCTCAGAGGTACCATGCCAGTCTCCACCTCCTCACTCCTGTGGCACAGGAGGGAAGGGGCAGCCAGTTTCCGCATCGAACAAATTGCCCCACTGTGGTGCCTACAGGGGTTGAAGTTAACCTGTGGCAAAGACCTGGTAAGAGCCTGGTAAAGGTCAGTCATTTGCAATGGTGAGGCAGCAGCCGCTTGGGCAGGTCTGATGTCAGGTCTGAGATGTCTGGAGTGGAAGGGCCAGGCAGCACTAGTGGGAGAATCTTGGGGGGCATGTCCCCAATTCCTCAGGGACTGACAGACATATAGCAGGCCCCACAGAGAGTGAGCTGACGTCACATGTGCCCCAGGGCCAGACATGGCTGAGTCACACAAAGCCACCTCCTACAATCTTTGTGCTGGAGGAGGTAAGCCACCCCAGTAACCAATCAGGGCCTCGTTCGGAGACCAGGGCGTACCTGGGGACCACCAATGACAAACCGCCCGCTGGGCTGCAGGTGGTAGATGGTGTGTTCATCCAGATACTTGGCCGGCACCACGGCCTTGATCACCCGCTCCTTCAGGGCCTTGCGCATCTCCTCCAGCGTTATGTCCTCGTCATGCTGCACGGAGATGACGATGGTGTGGATACGCACGGGGATGACCGCGCCATTGTCCTGCATGTACTGGACTGTCACCTGTCGGTCAGAGGCAGAAGGAGACATCATGAGGTCCTGCCCCGAGCTGAGGACACGGCACTGCCCGTCGCAGACACCCAAGAGGCAGGCAGGGCTCCCAGGGGCCACGGGGGACCCCATCCTCAAAGGGCCTTCAGGAAAGTTATTCGGATACATTCTGGTATTTGAATAGTTGCCCAGTGCTACGGGATGACTGGGTATGACACATAAGCTAGTCCCATCTGTGACCACAATTAGTGCCACTTGGGTCCTCGGGGTTTGCAGAGCTTCCTCTCTGTGACCCATCAGACTCTTCTCCTTCTCCCCTAGCCAAAGCCCCCTTTGACCCTCTATGGACCAGGGCCAAGCTATCCTGGCTCCTGCCAAGGACACAGGAGTCTACGGGCCACACGCCAGCTGTCCCAGCCCATCAGTGGAGGAGCTCTAGAAGCACATTGGGCCAGAGGACCTGCTGGCTGTAGGGAGAGGGTGAGAGGGACTCAGGCCAGGGTGGCTGAGACGGAGGGAGCTGCCAGCTCTGGATTGCCAGCTCTGGGCATTGTGGTAAATGAAAGAGAAGCACAGAGCACCTTGAGGGCTAGACCCTTCCCGCAGCACCCTTGCAGATCAGGCTACAGGGACAGATCTTATATCACTGCCACCAGCGTGCCCATTCTATATTTGATCAATTAATATTTAAGCCACCCCAGCAAGATAGGTATTATTCTCTCCACCTTTACAAATGAGAAAAACAAGGCAATGAGAAGTGAAACAACTCGTCTGAAATCACAAGCTAGTCAGTGAAAAGCGAAAGAGCCAAACCATGCTCTGCCTGATCCAAACGCTTGTGTCGTTCCCACAGCAGCACAGACAAAACGCTTCTCCCCCATTGTTTACTGACACCTCCGTGAGTGTAAGAGCCCAGTGTCACAGCCTGGTCTGACTGGAACAAATGCGGGCAGCCTGGGCACCCTGGGCTTGCACTGTGAGGAGGAAGGTGGTGGGAAGGATGGCAAGTGAGGCTGGGAAAAGAAACTGACCGCGCATGCACTATGTGCTAGAAACCATGCCAAAAGCTATGAGAAGCTGTTACTGGCCCCATTTTAAAGACAACAAAGCTGAGGTTCTAGAACATAAATGCCTTGGTCAGGATGACACAGCTGGTAAAGGTGGCCTGACTTGGAGCTGTGTGGCCTAGTAGCTGGGGCTCTGCCCAGCAAAAGGCTGTCACTTAAAACCTTCAAACCACAGGTTCAGACATTTGGTGTACGTGCTTGGCTGAGGAGCCAATGGGGCGAAACTACCATCTGTGGGATTATGACTAAACGTCTCTAAGAAAAAAAACAAATAAAATAAAACCCTCAGGGCTATGCTGGAGCCACGGGCCCCATTGCTACTCAAGGCAGTGTGGACCCACAACAGCAGTGCCCGCAGGGGCTATGGGGTGTGTGGGGCTTGCAGAAGTGCAGCTATGCCGGTGGTCCTGGTAGGGACCTTGGCTGGCAGGCACAGCCCTGCTGCCTACCCCAGGGCCTCGCCGGGACCACAGGGCAGCAAGGTCTCTGCCTGCCCAAGGCCCCTCAGAGAGCCTTCAAACACTGGATTTGTGTCAGACTCCTACTGTGTGTACTTCCTGGTCCAAAGAGCAACAGGGTGGGGTCAGCAGAAGGAGGGGAAATAACCCTGCCCACATGGTGCCTGATCCTAGTGAGATGGGCAGATACACACCAACATCTGTGGACTGAGAACAACCCTTAACGGCTAGGCTGTGTGAGAGGGAGCTGCAGTTGGGGGGCCCCCAGAAGGGGAGGCCCTGTGGCTGGCTCTAGGACCAGATTTACTCCATGAGGCCTCAGGAGAAGGTTTGTACATCCTGAGTAGCTGCTGAGACCCGTCTCCACTGTCCCCCTGCTCCCTGGTCTCCCACTTTGCCACAAACCCCAGGTCGCATCCTTGTGGAACCACAGAACTGTGGCAGAGCAAAGGGCTCCAAGCATCGCTCTTATCTCATTGTGTCGGCAAGCTGTGGGGAAAAGTACAGCACGGAAAACAGAACTCCGACCAGGTACAAAAATAGCCATCGCGCTGCCACGCAGTTCTCCGTATCAGCAGCAAGAATTTGTTCAGGTGGAAAGACTCATCTTGTTCACAGTCAACACTGGTGAGATGATGAAAACCCTTTACCAACAGGGTACAGAGAAGGCCTAGCAGCTGTTCCTGGCACAGTGCCCCCCTGCTCCCACAGTGAGCAGCCCTATGGGGGTGCTGGGAGAGTTCTGTCAGCAGACCCACACCTGCACCCTCTCAGCCTCTCTGCTGCAAGCCAGCTCAGGGCCACCTGTGGCAGGGGAGCGAGGCTGACTCTGGTCTCCCAAGCAGCATTTTTAAGAGAATTCAGTGGATCCATGCAGAAAGAGAAACCCTGAGAGAGCCCACCCTGCCCC